AAGTCCGCAGACAATACCGCTGTGCCACTGGGGAGCAAAACGTTAGTGAAACTTATGCACATATAAAACTGAAATTAACTAAATTTTCTTCATTATCTTATTGGTTATTCATTTGTTTATTCATTAATACTCTCTGTACACTTCTAAAACTTATTTAAAACATTAATTAAAATATATTCAGAAGTCATAATTTATAAAAAAAAACAGCAGATGGGTGATAGATGATCTGAAATAAAACAATACATTAATAGTGATTACTAAGATAATATCCAACTACAGAGTGTACAATAAAGGCGTTAAATATTTGTTCTGTAACATTTTCAGGAAATTCAAATGTAAAATACTTGGTGAAATGGTTAGATAATTTTTAATCTTTCACAATCTAAAGACATATATTTCGAAAGAAAAGCGCCGCCTCAATACAGTTGTTCATTGTGTTTGGTTCTGTTGTATATTTGTGTACCGATAAGTTTGTTCTATAAACATTGTTAGTCTCACATTTATTAATTTATGTTATTGGAATTTTTGAAATTATTAGGCAGTGGTTTGTTTGTTTGTAATTAAGCACAAAGCTACACGATGGGCTATCTGTGCTCTGCCCACCACGGGTATCGAAACTGGGATTCTAGCGTTGTAAGTCCGCAGACATACCGCTGTACCACTGGGGGCTTAGGCAGTGGTTTGTTAAACATCTGTGTGTATTGCATGATATTTCAACATATTTTGATAATAAAACAATTGAATATATAACCAAACGGCTTGTATTTTTCGTTTTTTAAGTGTGTACAAAAGTGAAAGTGTAAAATGAGATAAGGGAAAGAAACTGAAACCGAACAAATAATCTTATAATCAAATTAATATAATTCGTTTTACATCCAGTATTTTTATTGCATTATCGTAAACAAAACCTTTGTTAATTTCAGAAAATATTTCAAGTTCCAGAACATATTTTGTAATGTTTATTAACTAGTTGTTTCAATAGTTTAATGCCTATTATTTTTACAGCAAATGACAATAGCTACCATACGTATAGATATACGAGTGCATTTTAACACTCAGCACTCCACCTTTACAGCCTTTACAGCAAATGACAATAGCTACCATACGTATAGATATACGAGTGCATTTTAACACTCAGCACTCCACCTTTACAGCCTTCAGTGAACGACATCTATGCACTTACAATACACCGCTTTAGTGTCAAGTGCGTAAAATCTTTTGGTTTTATTCCTCATGCGCTGATTAAGTCATAACTTCACCGATCGAATCTGTTGTCATGATACCCTATATTCTTATAAAATCTTCAACCTAATAACGATCGGCTAGTTGGAAGCGACCTCTAGGAACCTAACTTGTAAAGCTTTGAGAGGAATCCGTTGCAAGGCTCAGTTTGACGGTGACTACTCTAGCTTGGTGGACGGGAAGTTTGGAGGAGACAAAGAGAAATAGTCACCCTGTTTTGATTCAGCGTAAAGAGAACACTTATTGAAAATATTTGGTAAAGTACTTGTTATATAGGTAAGCAAAAGGCTCAGTCATATTATAGGACAATCAAAGACATAGGAAATGTATGATACCAAGTTCTTGAAGTATACATTAATCACCGTTCTTGGTTCTTTGAAGATCAGCTAGGAAGAAAATGAAAGAGGACAGTGCCAGCTCAAAAACTGAAAATCCTACAAACTGAATTTTTTAAAAGATATTAAAATAAACTCGTTACAAATTACTAGAAACTATAGATACCATGTTAGTGAGAGTTTTGTTCAACGACAAAGGTAGACAATATATTTTGTACATCAAACTTTGGTTAACGCTTCATGCGTTATCAGCTGCCAGAGAAACTGAGCTACAAATTGGCGGTTTTTTCTCTGTTAGCGCTAATCTGACAGAAGGTGCAACTGGAAGAGGTGTAATTCCAGCAGTTATGCTAGCTCTCGAACATATTAATGACTGTCCTCATATTCTTCCAGGCTACAAACTTACGATACAGTGGAACGACACTCAGGTAAGTTTTTATCTTTGTCAGAAGTGTGGATATCTATATGCTTGTAGCTGTAGTTGGTTTCTTCTAATTACGTGATTTTAATATCGATAATATGATTTCTAAGATATTTTTGGAAGCTACGTTTTCAAAAACATTTCCTGAAATATTAAACTTTGAGCTACTATTAGTGTTAAACTAGTGAAAAGGAGTCTGTTAGTCCTGTATTTGTATTCACACAAAAACAAAATATTGTACTTCTCTTAATGTTCGAAATTTTGAGAAGGATTTTTAAAATAAAAAAGTAGCTTTTCATAGGTAACCATCGTATTAATTGATCTTAAAGTATTTATGAAACGTTTTTATTCTTGTCTATTGAAACTTATTTTCCAAGTACTCAACTTTTAAGAAACAAATAAACAATTAACAAATATTATGTTAGAAAGCTCCTAGGTTTTATGACCATAGGCAAGGTAGTCCTGGAAACACTAAGACGTAGTGTAACCAACTAATGTATGAATAATGTCTGAAAACTGTGGAAAAAATGCAGTAGGAACCTACTGATTTCGAAAAATTCAGTATGTTTTCGACATACAAAAACACAGTAATGTATACATATACAAGGTCACTTGAACCATCTAATTACCATATGCATATTTTAATGTAGTGGCATATGTCCGCAGATGTGAGATGTAGCACTAAAGCTGATATGTTATCCAGTATTTATATATCTGGGCTAATACGAATTCTCGAGCATATGACAACACAATGTCATCAGGTTACATTTTTGGCTGAAACAATAGGTCACACCGCTTTCCAAGGAAGACTGTTCATAAAGCAAAGGTGTTAAGTGATCTAAGCCAAAAAAAAAACGCAACTTTTTGAAGTCCGGAGCCTTCAGTATTTTCCATGGGAGGGACGAGAGTATTTATGACAGCAATGCACTCTGAAACTGTATCCCCTGTCAATTCCTAGCTACGACCTCATTCGCAAAATGAAAGCTATGGTTAAGAAATACCCTACAATCCAAAAAGACATGGCGATAAACCTGGAGATACCTATTGGTACCCTTAATAAGGTAATTTATAAGGGTTTGAAGCTAACGAAGACTCATAAGTCAACAGTTCACAAGCTTCCAGCTGCACCTTGAAATCAACAGTTGTTGACTACATACCTATCAAGTCCTCCCCTTCTCCACATGCAGCTTTGGTCTGCTTTAAATTCGGTCTTGAGAACTGACGTCTACACATAGAGGAAAATCAAACAGTTTTCTAAGACTGATCTCAGCGTTATTCACTGAAAACTCTGGTGTCAGGCAACAGTGTGTAGTTGTGACAATCCGATCGTTGATGGAGGATATGGTTTGAAAGGCAACATCAGACCTTTAACATAATTATTGTAAAGTGCGATAATTTCAGTATAACTAAAGTAAGTGGTGAAACCGAAGATGCAAATCTTGTCTACTCACTCTTCCTTTACAAACGGCGTTATCTGCACCATCTCTTCATGATAATTGATTCTACAACCTTCAGTATAATCTTTCCAGATTTAATGTTAAATCCTGTAAACTAAAACTTATGTATACTATACAACATTTGCAACTTGCGTACATGATAGGATACAGTTCTGGCTCCAATAATTACAAAAACACCACATACGTAAGTTTAGCTACATAAATATTTTGTCATCAATCAAAGAAATATCTGATGAAAACACAGTTTGCTTGGAATAAGTTTCAAGTTTTTTTTAGTAAATAAAAAATACAAACAAACAAGGTAATATTAGTTTCTATAAATAAAATGACTGGGGCTACCTGCAGATGAAACAAGATAATATAGTTGTGAATGTACTATTCAAATTATGAAGCTGGGATATCACTCCTTAACAAATCCAAAATAAAATTTTCTAAACTATGTAAAGTCTTGAGAATGAGTCTGGGCATTTCAATCAAAATCCCAGATCAAAACGTCTTATTACATTGAACTAAGAAGAATTGTGTTTACTTGGGTGAGATGAATGAATATTTTTTTAAATATTAACCTAAACATTACAACTTTGTTTTGGTATAATCAATGAACTGTACTCGAAACATTAGACTCCAATAGTAATTTTGATTAATAAGTGTATATATATATATATATTTCGAGAACTTATAAAACAATTTATTTCGTGCTTCAGTTGATTCTTTCTTTTTGTTGTTTTGCAGCTCATTGAAGATAAAATCATTAAGTCTTGTTTTGAATTGAAATATCTTTATTTTACGAAACATGTGAAAATCAAAACAGTAAAAAAATAAAATAAGTAAAAACAAGTCCAACCGTAAGCATATTGTTTGAAAATTAAACATTTTGCAAAATATTGTATTCACACGCTACGAGGTAACTGTCTTCATCTTATTCTCTTTATATTTCTCTAAAATGATTAAAATTCCAACTTCAATATATACTTCAATGGTCAGAATTCGAAACAGTTGGTGTTATTAGGTATATAAAAATCTTATAACCACATGTTTTTTCAGTGGTCATAATTCCAACCAACAAGAATCGTTTACCAGTTGCAACTGAATAAATGGATTTACTATTTCAGAAGTTGCCGAGTTTGTATTTTAAACCAGAGGTTTGTTTAACGACCGTGAACGTGTATTCTTTAATACAGAGTATTTTATACTACTCAGATAATCTAATTATCCTAAAGACACGATATTAATGATCACAATTTCTTCAGCCATGTCTGGGAATGTAAAAAAAAAAAAGGATCTTGGTTTTATTTCCTAGGGTTCCTTGTTTCACACAAAGAGACATCTTGGGTTTAACAGATTGTTGTTCAAGAACTTTGAGAAAAAGTTGAAGAAAGACTGAAATAAACCTATATTGATAAAAAAAGAAAAATTTCTATACGCTAAAATATTGGAGGAATTTTTAAAGAAGAAGATTATAATTGGGAAGTTGAGTACAACTAAATGATGTCAACAGAGGCTATTCTAAATGAACATATAGATTAAAAATAGGATTAAAATGTTTTATTACAAATAGAGACGAAAACCCTATAAGTGTAATGTATGTTAATGTTGGTTATAAATACCGAGTCTAAACTACACATTGTAGTTGATTGTATAAAATTAGTCTTACACTTCTATGATTGGTGTTCTTTCCCTCGATGTTTTTTCTCCTACATTTTTGTGGTTTCTGCTCTTTCTACCTTTTTACATTATTACGTTTCTGTGGTTTCTGCTCTTTCTATATTTTCACACTCTTACGTTTCTGTGGTGTCTGCTCTTTCTACCTTTTCACACTCTTACGTTTCTGTGGTTTCTGCACTTTTTACATTTTCACACTCTTACGTTTCCGTGGATTTTGCTCTTTCTACCTTTTCACACTCTAACATTTCTGTGATTTTTGCTCTTTCTATCTTTTCACACTCTAACATTTCTGTGATTTTTGCTCTTTCTCCCGATGTATACTTCATCACTTCTGTGGTTTCTGCTCTTTCTCACAATGTATATTTCTATGAATTCTGCTCCTTCTCCCTATGTATACTGCTACACTTCTGTGGCTTCTGTTCTTTCTACCAACGCCCGGCATGGCCAGGTGGTTAGAGCACTCGACTCGCAATCTGAGGGTCGCGGGTTCGAATCCCCGTCACACCAAACATGCTCGCCCTTTTAGTCGTGAGGGCGTTATAATGTGACGGTCAATCCCACTATTCGTTGGTAAAAGAGTAGCCCAAGAGTTGGCGGTGGGTGGTGATGACTAGTTGCCTTTCCTCTAGTCTTACACTGCTAAATTAGGGACGGCTAGCGCAGATAGCCCTCGTGTAGCTTTGCGCGAAATTCAAAACAAACAAACAAACAATCTTTCTACCGATGTATACTCCCACTTTTCTATGGTTTCTGCTCTTTTCTCTAATGTATATTCCTACATTTCTATGGTTTCTGCTTTTTCTTCCGGTGTGTACCATAACATCTGTACTACTATTCTAAGATTATACCAAATATGAGTAGTTGGAAAATTTTCAAAATTAATATTCCACACTTTATCCACAAGTATAAGTCGTTTTCTACTACCTTCTGAAATCTTTAGAAACTCAACTTGACTATGTGAAAAATGCTGTCGGATTAATTTACATATTAAAAGTTTCGATTAGATGGAACTTGTGCTGATGTCCATAGATGGATCATACCCGACACCTGTTAAGGTAGGCTGTATTAAGAATAAGTTTTGAATTTAGTTTAACAGACAGTCCTGATATATATTCGATGTGAGGTTCACCCTCGTGGTCTGTCAGTTTAAGGATTAACATTATTTGAGTTTTTAATTATAAAATTCGTCTGTTTTAATCAAACATTATCTAACCTAAACATTTACAAGGAAGCAATATTTATACTAAATACTATTATTTTCTTTTGTCCTGAATTAAAATATATTCAAAATTCATTTTAACTCTGTTTATATGGGACTGTCCAAACAAGGGACAGAAATAACGTCTGAAGGGTTCAAAGTCTTGTGTCAAACCTTCTGAAGGTGGGTTACATCAGTGACTATACAACTTAAAAAGGATTATTTTTTCTTTCGGACTAAGAGAACGTTTCTCAAAAGAAAGATTCACTTTTTTTTACCAATCAAACCGTTTACTTTAGTGATTTTGTTCCGCGCATAAGGTATGTTTTAATTACGTATTGACTTGGTTACTTTGAGCTTAAAGTAAACAGGTATTTTAGAAACTGGATTTTAAATCTAATCAACTTCAGTTCACTCGATTACACTTAACTCAAGTGAACCCTTTTCAGTTTAAGAACACTAAATTAAATTATCCGATATCGTTTTCGATCCACAAGCTTTTTCTAAAAACTCCAAGGACCTGGAAGGTTCTATGCCTGTGTGATAGCAATAAAACGAGTCAAACGTCACGAAACGTACCGACTTATCTGCAAGTGTTTTATAGACTTCAGTGAATTGGTTGAAAATATGTAAAAAAAAAAAAACGAAAATCGAGAGATATTCATTATTTGATAACAAATCGCTTAG